AAAAAAAAAAAAAAAAAAAAAAAAACGAAAACAAATTTTGTAATTTCAATTCGATGATATTTATTCTAGAAATATTAATTTAAACCTAAATATTCTAATATTATTCTAAAATTTTCCCAATATTGAATAATGTTGATCAATGTTGATATTTATATGATTTTTCTCAACGCCACGTTTAAAATAAATAACAGATAATAACATTCTATCAAGTTGATTACAAGTAGATTGGATCATTTTTATCGCTCGATATAATTATCGTGACTCTCTGTGACGAAATTCGACATCGAAAGTTTGCTTTCGTAACGATTCAGTTTACCCGGTTTATTCTTGGAAGAATAACGCCTCGTACTATCGTGTCTACGGGTCAAAATGTGAGTATTTTTTTCCATTCAAAATCTTTTTTTCCTATTTTTTTTTTTTTTCAATACTAACATTCTTTCACCTCTGTTATCTTTTATCGAGCGATAAAAGCGATTAAATAATTAAAAAAAAACGAATAAGAGAAGCAAATATAAATTTTCCAAGGAAATAAGTTGTATTTGTGCACGTTCGTGTATATAATTTCGCACGATCTTCCAGCATTGTTTGCAATGTTATCATAGCTATTATAGAATCAAGAACAACAGGTGGAATGTGAATGGTATTCCATATCATCACCCCTATAAGCATCCCTTCCCGTCATCCTAAGCATCCCTTGTTATTAAAAAGAAGAAGATAAAAAGACGAACAAGAACAAAAAAAGAAATAAATAAAATAAAATTCTATCGTGAAAAATGTTTCCAATCACGGAAATTTAATGTAAAGAGATATGATTTAAAATATTTAAAAGATATTTTAATGATAAAGAGTAATAAAATTCAATAAAAAAAGAAAAAAAAAATTGAACGCTGAAGTGGCTCGAATAAATGATTTTCAAATCGATGAAATTGTATGGAAAGAAACGTAAAATGTAAAATTCATCTAATGTCTTTTTACGCAGAATCACAACTTTCTTATCTTCATTGTTCCACAGTCTTGTTTCTCGCGATCCCCAATCAATATACAAATGGAATTTAATTAATCTACATTGTATGAATAACATAGTTATAATGGTTGCTTACCTAACACATTGTGAATACGCGATAAACTTGGCCTGATCTTTTTATATCGGCCATATAATCTATAATTAGATAATAAATTGACGCAAGAATAGCGATTTATTGAAATGTTTACTGAAATAAGTATAGGATAAAAAAAATGTAAAATCGACAACATTCCTCGTTATGCTTTGTTAGCTTAATGATCGAGGTAAGAGTTTAAAAATAATCTCTTACAAGATACTTTCATCAATTCTTTCTCGTATCGATAATTATACTGATAATTTTACTGATAAAAATCTAAAATAAAAGCATTGGACACACTCGATATCTTTAAAAAAGAAAAACGATCAAAAAGTAAAATTATATAAATATATCTCAAATTATATAAGTATAAGCCTCGATTAAAAAAAAAAATCATATTCAAATTACAATAATTCGTAAAAATATTCGAACACTATCATATAAAAAAACATGATATATTCACAATATTTTTGATCCAAATTTAAAAATAATCATCCAAATCATTGTCCAAACGATTCCCAATGAAGATATTTTTTGACGAGGAACAGCATATAAAAATTTACTCATACACGATAAATTCTATCCAAATTCTTAACATAGGATCTACATTATATTTCCGTGGAAGAATAATAAATAATAGATCCATATACGATTCGAGTCTCGAAAAATCAAAAATGCACCGTTCAAACAAAATGGAGATTTTCCAATATCTACGATATTTTTTTTTCTTTTCGTTCGAAGAGAATTCATTCATTCAAAGACGATATAAAATGTTTGGATTGATATTCTCGATCCAAATTTTTCGAAACTGCGAAATCGAGGGCGCGAAATACCGTTCGCGTGCAAAATACGATATATTTCTAATGGGGTGGTGGATATTTTTCGTGGTGGACGAGCAAGCGAACGCGTATGCGGAAAATTCATTCATAGCCGGTAGAATGGCTCGGGATGAACGAGCGTCCTTCGATTCACGAGAAATTTCGGGTCAACGGGACGGAGCTGGGATAGCTGGCTGCACCGGGAACCGGAAATGAGGTCGAGAATGACGTCATCGCGTTCAGTGCCGTTCATTCAACCCCCGGGGACAAACTGGGTCACCGGGCCAACTCTCACCCCATTCCCAACCATTCGAATCGTGGAAATGATACTCGGCTCGAGGAAACTCACGCACATGCAACTCTCTTCTAACCTCTTCCTCTTC